CGAGTTCTTTCCTATTTTCTATATATTTTTTACAAACACACGCACACACACATATATATATATATATAAAAGTGGACATTGAAGTCAACATCCAGAGGCAACAGTCTGTTTCATACTCAATGCAATTGTCAGGTCATGTGCCTTATGATTGCATTTGGCATGAAGCAGACTATCACCTCTTTATGCTGACTTCAGTGTCCACTTTTATATTTATGTTTTATCCCTGTTATTGATCACTTTAACCCATAAATATAGCATACCTTAAAACTATATTTTATCATATATATATATATAGGTAAGATGAAATCATTCACTCACCAGTAATTTACAATCGTTTGATGAGATGCATTGATATGCATCAAAACACAACTTCAATTGTGTAGCAATTTTGACATGTTTTCAGTGTAATATCCTAAATATATATGCATACACACACAATTTTATCTATGTAGCTGTTAGCATTATTTTATCATACTCTTACCCCCCCTTACTGAATAAAACACATCTTTATCTCTGGTTTATGAAAGTGTCAAAAAAATATAATGAAAAAGGTATTAACATATAAAAAGGAAAAGAAGGAAAAGGTAATTTTCTTCAGATCTCGGTTTCACATTGATAGCTTGCTACCATGTCAATAGATTTTTTAGCTCTTGAAAATATATTGATTAAAGTTGCTTTACATGTTATGACTTTGAAATGCAGAAACAGGATGATTTTGTTTAAAGTACATGACTTTATTTAGAGTGTACCTTGCCCTCTCCTGTATTTAGTGAATGCTCTGTTTAAAGAAATTATTGTTAATCAAATCATTTGATGTTTGTTATTAAGACTTTGATAAAAAAAAAAAGGCAGGTATTAGCAGGTGTGCATATATAAACTAATTACAATTTCCTAATTGCTTTTCAAAAAATGAGCACTATTACAAAAGGTATTTCCACCTGTAAGCCTTAGAAAAATCTTCATTCTTTGAATGTTGAACTCTTACTTACAAAGTTTTAATCATTTTTGTACCCATTTGTTTCTCCGTCCCTACCAGGCTACCTGCTAAGAGGTGAAATGGCGAGCTCAGGTATGTGATGAATGTTTAGAGAGAAGATTATTTTCTTTTTTCATATCACCTGTTCATTTTTATGATTTTTGTTTTTGTTTTTTTTACATCTTTGTTATCTTATAAACATTTATTGATTCAAATTTAACTGTCACTTTCTTGCTCCTTACCTGCAGTTGTCACATTCAAATTGAAATCTTTTTACTCAGATTGGCCAGGTGTATTTTACCTGAGGGTTTAAGCAATAGCATCTCACTTCTATTAATATTGAATAACAACGTCTATGTAGGTAGTGCGTGAGAAGATAGACTAGGGGAGAGTTTGTTTTCTAAAGGTGGGTCATTATCTTCTTGATGATGGACCAATACTTTCCTTACTCAGCCTCCAGCTAAATATTCAGTTTTTAACCCCTACCTCAATTGGCATATTTTATATTTTGAATATGTCTTAGTAAAGCTTTTTATCTAAGTTAACTTTGTCGTGTGTGTTTTTTTAAAAAAACAAATATAAAAAATAGAGGTGCAGAAAGACTTAATGGCTATTAGCAGGAAAAATGGAATTGGTGAATAAAATTTAGTTTCCAACTTGCACTGTTTATATACACTTTACATTAATTTTCTTGAGAAAGGCATGAATCCAATGTACCCTGTCCTATTGACAGATGCAACAAAAAATATCTTCTCATTGGCATTCTACAAAAGATAATGGTTGAGTGACAATCTTGGCAAATCACTCTCCCATAATTACCTTACCTGTATAGGTGAAAACAGCTGAAAAGTATTATTGCCATTGTCAATTTTGACAAGGTTCAATAATAACAAAATACCAAAAATGGCAAGGTAAGATAAATATGAACAAAATTATCTTACAGAAGTAATAGTTAGGATTTTTTTGGTGAAAAATTTTGCCAGAAGAGCCTTTTATTAATAAAACTGTCATTAAGGATATGTTATTTTCAATTCTTTTATCAAAACTAATGACCATTTTAATTTTTTTTCTTTTTTTTTTTAAGCATCTGAAAAAATTACTTATTTAATTATATATTTACAATAGAAGGCATGGTAAAAAAAAAAATCATTGTAAAAATATTCAGATTCGGTCTTATCTACCTCTGTGTGTGTGTATTTTTTAAAAATCCCCACTACTTTATCTATACAATAATTGGGTATGTACTGGGCTGGGTATGGCTCTCTATAGTGTGCTGACTGTCTCATTTTATGCACTATTTAACAAAGCCAGTTTATAAAATCTACTACTCTGATCTACTTCCTGATGAGATAGTTATTTTTTTGTGAGAGCCACCTCACTGGAATCTTTTACTTTCATATGTATGTACATACATAATATATATATATATATATATATATGCATACATTGGACACCCTCCCTTCCTGGCGACTGAATGTATGGTTGGTTGATGGTATGTTGGGTGGAGGAAAAATGAGTATAGTGATAAATTAGACAAACCCATCCACTTCTTTTAGGGTCTTTACCATGTGCAGATATAGTGCCACCTGGGTTAGATTTGTAATCTGTCATCTACATTCTTGAAGATTCCAGCTGCCATGGAAATTGTCAGGGTTTACCAGCTGAAATCTTACATTGGGCAGTATGTCAGTAACCTGCAGATTTGCAAGTATGTACAAATTTATTTTTCGAATTATTAATTTTAATTATCTTTTTGGTAGGGTGATCTTTATTCATTGTAAATTGTTCTGCTGATGCATTTTTTTTTTTTTAATTGCTTAAATTTTTTTTTTAACTAAATTTGTGAAGCTTGGGTCTCAACAGGTCGGCATTACTGAAAATTCCAATTCATTACTACTGAATTCTTTTTTATGTAAAAAATATTTATTTTTATCCTTTTATAGTCTTACTGTTTGGATCTCACTAGGTGCCCTATACTTGTGTTAAAAGTAAGCTAAGCTTAGTAAATAGAAAAATGATCTTACCTAATGTATAGGATGTCAGAAAGTGTGACTGACAAAATTAAACTTCATACTTTGCTTACTGATTACCAATATTTTGTACTCATGTCCATGGGAAAAGACGTCAAGAATTTAACATTCTTTTGATCTACCTTGTTATTAGTTATTCTAGTTTTGTCACATCACAGGTATCTTATTTAGTGAGTGATAGTTTCATTTTAAGCCAATATGCAGATTCCCATCTACAGTGAGGAGTTTTATATGTAGAGTGGATTAAGCACTTGTTATATAAACAGAAAATTACTATGATTTAAAAGAAATAGCTTCAAATATATAACAAATAAAAAGAATTGTATATTGCAATTGTTTTTTTTTTTTTTTTTTTTTTTTTTGTTCTTGTCATATAAAAAATTCTATAATGTCAACAGAAACCACTTGATTCCAAATGAAAAGAAATTGAACATATGTTTATTTCTCTCCCTGGCAAGAAATATTTCTCTATTTTGTATCCAGGTTTATAAAAGGCAACAAAAGGATAGTCCTGTTTGGTGTTGATTATATACAGTATTATCTATATAAGAAAGACATATTTGGTCATTTATCTATTTACCTATTCATTTCTTGATAATTTAAAAAAAAAAAAAACTTTTATATATATATATATATATATGCTATATTTATGTGCTATCAGGAATAGTGTATGTAAATATAAAAGGGGACTCTGAGTTCACTGCTCTGTGTTGACCTCAGTGTTCACTTATATATAAAGTCATCTTTTTCTGTCCACAACAGGGCCCACATCTTTCTATTAGATATTGGGAGTAATGTGCCTTATCCTGCCACAATGACCCCTAAGATGTTTGTAAAGGGATTTAAATTTGGAGTTATCCACCTTATAAACTGGGTGCTTTTCTAAGAATAAAGGACGCTCTCTTTCTCACACATGCACACACACATATCTCAGTTTTAGAGTAATTTATTTTTTATTTGTTTTCTTATCAATGTTATACATAGCATCTCTGTCCTCTTTTTAAAATTTCTTTTTTCACCTGCAAAGTAAATGTGAAAGTGTTTCTGTGTATTTTAAAATGTACAAAGAATAAAATGGAAAATTGTGACAGAAATGTTTGCAGATTTGCTTCTGGTACTTGGTGTTTGTGATTGAACTGTAACATAAAATGGTCTTACAAATACTGTTTTTCAACACACATCAATTTTCCCCACTTGAAAGATTTGGCAAAAATATGTTATCTCTATATCTATGTACTTGTAAAATTTGAACAACAAAGTAAATTGTGTGCATCATTTTGCAGTTGCTGTACATGTGTGAATATTTTCGTTTCGCAGGTTCATATTGTGACATTAGATAAATGAAATGATTATAGTTATAACTGGTAATGTTTTGTTATTTAAATTTGAAAATCCTACAATTTGTATCTGTTCAAGTATAATTGTCTCTTTGTATGGAATTATCTATAAATATGTATATTTTTGTAATGTGTAAAATTCATTTTTTTTTTTTTTTTTTAAATTCAAATTGCTTATCTTTCTTAATATGAAGGAAATCTGAAATCTCAGTTGTAAATATGAAATTACTAATGTAACAAAAGAAAGGTTTTCAGTAGTTTGTATATTTTGTTCTCTTTAAATTATCTATGCACATATCATATTTGAGGTTAATGTTTGTTTATATATAAAAAAATGTCTTTATTTGTTTTCTTGTATATACCTCAGAAACATTACTTTATCACAGTTCCTTGCCTACTCAACTTATTTTTTTATCAACTGCAATTTTTTGACATTTATTAGTTAAAATTATTAGTAAGATATTTTTGATTCATTAAAAAAAAAAATCATTCATCGTAGTTTTACTATCTTCGGTATAAGATTTTTACAAATGACTGATCATATACACACACATATATATAATGTATAATTTGGTATTCATTTCAATGTGAGATTTAAAACATTTCTCACAGACTACTGATTATTAACCTAAAATTCTTGTAACAATTTTTTTTTTCTTGCCCTTCTTACTCTTTCTTTTTCTCTTTTCTTCTCTTCTCTCTCTTTCTCTTCTCTCTCTTTCTCTTCTCTCTCTTTCTCTTCTCTCTCTTTCTCTTCTCTCTCTTTCTCTTCTCTCTCTTTCTCTTCTCCCTCTTTCTCTTCTCTCTCTTTTTCTTCTCTCTCTTTTCCATTCTTTTCCTTTTTCTCTTCTTCCTTTTCTCTTTTTTCTTCTCTCTTTTTCTTCCTTTTTCTTTTTTTCTTTTTTTCTTTCTTCTTTTTTTTTTTTCTTCCTTTTCTCTTTTTTTCTCTTTTTTTCTTTTTTCTTCTTCCTCTTTTTCTTCTCTTTTTCTTCTCTTTTTTCTCTTTTTTCTTCTCTTTTTTCTTCTCTTTCTCTTTTTTCTTCTCATTCTCTTCTCTTTTTTCTTCTCTTTTTTTCTCTTTCTCTTCTCTTTTTTTTTTTCTTTCTTTTTCTCTTTTTCTTCTCTTTTTTTTCTTTTTTTTTTCTTTTTTTTCTTTCTTTTTTCTTCTCTTTTTCTTCTCTTTTTTTTTTTTCTCTTTTTTCTTCTCTTTTTTCTTCTCTTTTTTTTTTTTTTCTTTTTTTCTTCTTTTTTTCTTCTCTTTTTTTCTTCTCTTTTTTCTTCTTTTTCTTCTCTTTTTTTTCTCTTTTTCTTCTCTCCTCTTTTTCTTCTCTCCTCTTTTTCTTCTCTCCTTTTTTTTCTCTCCTTTTTTTCTTCTCTTTTTTCCTCTTTTTCCTTTTTCCTTTTTTTCCTCTTTTCTTTTTTTTCCTCTTTTCTTTTTTTTTCCTCTTTTCTTTTTTTCTCTTTTTCTCTTTTTTTTCTCCTTTTTGCCTCCTTTTTTTTTTCCTCTTTTTCTTTTTTCCTCCTTTTTTTTTCTCTTTCTTTCTTTTTTGCCTCCTTTTTTCTTCTTTCTCTTTTTTGCCTCCTTTTTTTCTTCTTTCTCTTTTTTCTTTTTTTGCCTCCTTTTTTTCTTCTTTCTCTTTTTTGCCTCCTTTTTTTCTTCTTTCTCTTTTTTGCCTCCTTTTTTTCTTCTTTCTCTTTTTTGCCTCCTTTTTTTCTTCTTTCTCTTTTTTGCCTCCTTTTTTTCTTCTTTCTCTTTTTTGCCTCCTTTTTTTCTTCTTTCTCTTTTTATATTTATATTTATATTCTTTTCCCTAGTGCTGGAAGTGACAACATGAATGAAGACGGAGACAGCCAGGAATGGCTGTATGAGCTGCTTGCTGAAGTACAGTTGGAACAATTCTATACCAAACTGAGAGATGACTTGCAGGTTACCAGGTTAGTGGGGCAGTCTTCATCTGCTACTGTTTATTATTTCAAGAAGACATGGCTTGTGTTACCCAAAAGCCTGACCACCTACTTAGCTACATCTACCTGACAAGAACTCACTCCAAATGATTAAGTAATCATTGTCCATTCAAGCTAGACTGACTAAACAAGTATCATTGTCCCTTCATTAATTCATTTTAGAACTGCTTGAAAAATAACCGTGGGCAACAAAGATTTTGCTGCTATAATAAAAGCATATGTTTGAGACAAAACTTGAGTAGGCTGATTACAAATTTGTATTCAGAACTGTTTTTGTAGCATGTCAAGATTTTGTGCATTTGCCTGATTTGAGGGACCGTGTTCTGTATTAATTTCACTGGCTAGCCCCATACCACAAAAAACAAAATGATGCTATACTAGACGAAATCAAATATGCTAATTCTGAAATTTTACTTAGAATTGTCCTAACAGGTAAGGTTTTTGAAATATGCTCATCACATTTATGTTTAGGGTAAATCACATAATTCTACTTGTTCCTTAGTTAGTACATACGTAATGCCAGCCTCATAAGTAATGGACTATTCCATTTTGATCATGAGGAAAGATGGAAAAGGAAAAAAAAAACAGAGCTACTGTTTGGTTTCAAGGAGAAAAAGAAAGAAAATAGTGTAGGTGATAATGCTCTCATATGTTTGTAAATCTTTTCATTTGTACCCTCTTACTTCTTTAAATAATGACCTACATTCATACGTATGATTGTTATTGCAATATTTGACTGAAGTTGTTAAACTCAAATATTTACCAATGCAATAGGGGAATTTCCACAGGTATTTCATAGTCATAGAACTCAAAAGAAGCTTATTAACTTGAGAATTATAATTCATCAGAAAATTAAAATAGCAAAAACGATGAAATTTTCATGAGTATACCCTGGTATCATATTAATAGTCTATTCATATCTCTTGGTTCACCTAGAGCTGCAAACTATGCTAAATTTTTTTTTTTTTTTTTAACTAATTTTCACCCAATACAAGGCCCAAGAGCCACTCAAGGTAGAGGGCTACTGTGTGATGTCATATGAGCATAAGAAAGGGCAAGACATAAAGTTCTTGGGGACTATACAGGAAACATAATGGCTAACTCTAGACTTGAAGAGGTCAAGATTTAATTAGTGAATAACATTTCCAAGTTCAGTCAGAAACGTTAGTAGTATGATGTGGAAGTAGACTCTAGAAGGAAATCACTCCAAAGCAGGAAACAAGGGATAAACCTCTATTCCTGTTCAAAAGACTGGGGAAGATTACGAACTGGATGATAGACCCTATCTACTCCTATTAAATGAGAATGGCCTAACAAAGAATGAAAATGTCGGACGTCTCTTAAAAGGTATTTTCATGTGAATTAATATTTTTATGGATCTGGGTAAGTGATGAGTGTAGTAAGAGGTCCCACCAGGACATATGAGATGGAAATGAAGTACCAAAGCTGGTTCATTCCAAACATAAGTGACAACTGTTAGTTTCTTTTAACAGGAGACTAGCTCAATGCACAAACACAAGAGTCTCAAACATTTTTGAAGATATATCTAAAAGACTTTATTTTGTATTGCTTATTTCTCATGATCTGAATTACATATATAAAGATATCACACACTCTTCACACATTTTCCATCAAAATTATTATAAACAGCATTTACTGAGATGTGTATATATATATATATATATATATATATATATATATATATAAAACAAAAAAATATATTAAAACAGTTATCAGACTTAGTCTATTTCATAGTGTGTGATGTCATTTGTTTATGTTAAGATACACATTGAGCAGATATGGACATCATGGGAAGTTTGTAGTTTAAAAGCAGTAAAATCGACTTTGCTAACCAGATGTTTCCTTCATAGCTAAAGTGTTATAGCATGTCAGGCTATATGATGTTTCCATGTAGGATACAGATTCGATTCCTGTTGGAGGATGCATATTTTCTATGAAATTTCTTGGACATTAAGACCGGTAAATGTTAATACTGTTTATTATAAACTTTACTTAAATATTTGTGTGTATATATAAATAACATATAACAATAAAATATATTAAAATATAAAAAATATGTATATAAAGATGTACATGTCTTTTGTATAAATGGCTATGAAAAAAGAATTTGTTTATGCACTTTTTAAATCTAAAAACAAGATTTGCATGTACATAGTTTTTATTTTAATATACTAGCTAATATAATCTTAATTTATATACTCAATAGTATAGTATTAGTATGTCTTTGTATATCTGATATTCGAAAAGTAATTTATTTCAAGATTTCACACTTTAGCATTCAACCTGCCCCATAAATATCAGCTCTCTATGTTCAGCCTGCCGTAACCTCCTAATATTTATACTCTGCCATAATATATGACAACATCATTGCAAATAATGCAGAAAGTCACAGAGACTTTAAGAGCCAATATTTATGGAGCAGGTTCGAGCATGTTGAATGCTAAATGGTTAGTCTGTACTAATGAGTATATAAATTAAGGCTATATTAGTTGGTCTCCAATATCTCTCACCTTCCTCCAATATCCAAATTTGGAATTATAGGTAAGAGGTTGAAGCTCTGAAGTCATAGACAGGAGTTCAAAAATAACATTTAAAAATATTTTCTGTTTAAAATGTTTTCTTATTTATAAATATAAAAATGTTTATTTACACCATTTACATCATCCGGACTGTTGTCCTCATCTTTATTGTCATATTAACAATGTTTTGGATGTACACGCTGACCTTCTTTATTTAGTCCATATAGGTAGATTGTTTCCACTAATTCCACTTTTCAAACTATATTTTGTGAACAATATGACATTGATAGTAATATTATCTTGTTTCTGTTAGATGAAGCATTGAAAACTGTTGTAACCTAGCGAAAGTTACTGAATAGAATAAGCAAACGAAGGTTGGTAATGAACGATAATACTTAGGACAAGAACACCACACATAAGATTCAACAGCAGCACGTAGAAGAAGTAGTCAACTATTAGAAGTGTGTCAAGTGAATTCTACAATGAATCTCCACTGCAGACCAACATGTATTTACTACCGTAAATATGTGAATGGGGACATGCTTATTATCGTCCATAGGTATGCTACAACAATAACTATTGTTAATTTTGTTTTCTTTTTTACATGTATACACCTTTTATTTTAGTTGCTTTTCATCACAACTACTCGGTCTGATAATTAATGGTAGTAATATTGTCACATTCACAACATTTCGGCTGTTGTATGCTCCTGCCTTCTTCAGGTGATATATGTCGGAATTTCAAACTGAATCCTTTATTTAGTCCATAGGAGTAGATTGTTCTAATTTCACATGGCATGTGAAATATTGTGAATATGGCAATAAAGATGAGGACTATTGGAACTAAATAGTGTAAATAGTTAGAATACCTCCTCTCAGAAATACAGATAGTTAAAAATGTTTTCGTTTATTTTTTTCATTGTTGTATTTATTTACATGTGGACTATTGTCCTCATCTTTGTTGTTATCATCTTCATCATGTGCTTGTTAATCAATGTAACCTTCCTGCAATTTCAAACTGAACATTTTATTTAAAGGAGATTACAGGAGATAAATTGCTCTCATTCTCCTAACCATGTCTGGGAATATCTTGTCTAGACCTTATTTAGTATTTTTATGTATCTCTCCATTTTAAGTTTGAGTGGAATGTGTGTGAAACAGATTTCAATGTGTGCAACGCATTCATTGATTAAAAAATGGTTTCAAATGAATCCTGTAGGTCTCAAAGAAGACTGTCCTTCATCAGATCTCATAGACAAGTGCCACAAGATCAAATTCAAAGAAATTTACCAAATAACAAAAACTACATTACTTGAAAACTTCCAACAGCAGCAACAACTAAAAAGGATAGCACATGTAACTAGAAGAGAAAATAACAATATATTCAAGATGTTGATTTTCTACACTATTTCTTACACCCCACCCCGAAAAAAATTATGAAAGGAATACTAAATCCAATACTAAAAAGAGCAATAACAGTGGATTTGAGAAGCTTATCTTCTTGAAAAACTGTTTTAAGAAAAAGAATTTATAAATTTCAACCAACAGTAATGCTAACTGGGTCAATGAATGCTGAATCTTTCCTTATAAGGAAACAGCTAATCTCGCCATTACCATTGTAACATGTGGACTTTGGCTGATTAATAGGAGCAAATATGACAATTTCTACTCTAAGGCAGCATCCATCAGTCATTTGTAAGCGTTGTTATTTCATTAATACAAAAGAACAAAATTGCTGAAATATTAATCCGTATAATGCAAACCCCCATTTAGGATCTTAATTCTAATACAAAATTTCTTGTTATATATGGCATCAAATTAGTATGCAAAAACAGGAGTTCATTTTGAGTTTTTTTTTTTTTTTTTTTTTTGTTGGTGGGGGTTGTATTTTTTTTTTAAAAGTCATGGTGTCTATATGCAATAATGCATACATTTTCTTATTTAGATGAAAATACATTTTTTTTTTTTTTAAATGCAGGCAAATGTTTTAAGTGTTAATACTTGCATAATCGACCTTGATGGCATCATCATTTCCTTGTTATTGTGTTTTCCAACATTTTGTGTTTTCCAACATTTTATTGTGTTTTCCAACATTTTATTGTTTTTCCAACATTTGTTGCTTTTCTTTATCTTTTGCTTCATCTTTTCTTTTCCTTCTTTTTACTTTTATCGTATCCTGCTGCATTTCTTGGCTGTACACGTTTTCATGAGGAGACAACTCAATCTTTTTTTTTTTTTTTTCTTTCCTTTCTCTCTTTTCTTTCATGCATCTTTCTATTTTCATTGTGCTAGCTCAGCAGATTATTTGATTTGGGGGACCAGCTGTTCCAAAACAGGAGGTGGGTAAAGTGTCTGACACCACCAATTGTAGATTTTTATATTAATTCTTTATTACATCCTGATCCTGTCTCTCTCTTCCACGTCAGAGAAC